GTTGCTAGCATGGGGCAGGTGGGGCGGTGCCCCAGGGCCCCCGAAGGGAAGGGGCCCCGCCGGGGCAAAAGACTTCCGTATAGGATGCCCCAAATTTACTTGTTGCCCCAGGGCCTCCGAGGCTCTAGCTACGGCCCTGGAGATGATATTTTGGTTCGATATCTGTTAAACTAAATATAATATAAGTTCTGTATACAGTTCTGTATATTCACTTGCCGTACCCGGACGTGTTTCTTCGATCGCTCTTGCCAGTTTGCAATTACTTTCGATCTTGAACTCAAGCTTTCTCCTTCTGCGACAAGTTGAAATATAACAATTAATCCCTAAAAATAAATTCGACTTATTAAGTTCATTGAACTATTTATTTCCAATTTATACATTTAATCGGTTAAAGTTATCTCTGTTGCGCTTTAACTATATTCTCCAACATAAGTCTCTCCGAGCTTTACTCTCCGGACGTAACCCGTTACATTCATAGTTACTGTGGAGTTTGTTGTTCTTCACGACGCCGAACCTTCGTTGCACATCTCTTTTGTAACGTCATCTCTTACATCCGATCTGATCGTCCACTCTCGGCTACAGAGTGCTCCAGAGAGCCTAAATTCTTTACACGCTATTACAGTGGTCTGCATTCCGTCAAAAAGAAGCCAAAAATGAGTCTTACTTGCACAGCAAAAAAATGTGAATTTGGTGGAACCATCACGGGTGACTCATACCTGTCTTGTTGGCTCTGCAATAACTGCTCACATATTAAATGTGCTGGAGGAGGACACAATGGACGGATAAGTGACCTTATCAACAAGAAAATTGGCCTGACATGGTCTTGCATCGCTTGTAGAGAAATTGAGTCAGAGATGCGGACTTTTATGAAACAGACGAGAAATGGTTTCCTAGATGTCCGCAAGCAATTCTCGGCCCTTAATGAGCAATTCCTCGCTCTTGAAACTCAATTCCTTGGGCTAAAGTTGTTAAGTGAATCCCCCAGACGAAAAATTCCGAACAACAACCTGCTGACTGCTAAATTATTGAATACCCCTACATCCCATGCTGTACAAGTCGATGAATTTTCAACACCAAACATTTTACCGTCGCCTACTAGTCTACCTACTTATGCTGTTCCAGTACCAAGGGACTTGATGAGCCTTCCTTCAGGGCACTCTAATATTCATCCCTTGCAAGAAGCGATCAGCGTACCAAGTACAAATCTCGAGCCACCTCTCATCTTGGAGCCTCCATCGTTGGACATCGTTGGACAACCTACCCTCTGCTCTAGCTGTGATGTCTCCAAGGCCTCTGGTTGGTGTGGCGCCTGAAGTTAGATCTTCTGGACTTACGCTGAGGGCGGTTGCTCCTCGTAAGGCCATTTTTGTCTCTCGGCTTATGCCGGATGCTACTGTTGATGATGTCAAGAGTCACCTGTTAAACCATCTTAAGGTAGCTCCTAATGAAATAGCCATTTTTAAGTTTAACTTTAAGCATAAGCGTTCTATATCTTCTTTTAAAATAGTTCTACCTGATTCCTACCTTGAAAAAGCACTTGATCCTGTAGCCTGGCCTGAGCACAGTATCGTTCATGAATTCCTAGCAAAAGACGCTCAGAATCCTATCCCTGCAGAAACTGCTTCAAAAAACAGAATAACATAGTATTTTCCTGCTGCTATCAAAACGTTAGAAGTATTCTGGGTAAGCTGAGCCAGTTTTTTACAAAGAGTGCTTCTTTTGATTTTGATGCTATCGTGCTTACTGAAACTTGGCTTAACTCCTCTGTCTCTGATTATGAAATTCTTGTTTCCAAATTCATAGTGTTTCGATTGGACTTTTGCAGGTGGTGTCCTCATTGCTGTTACTAATAAGTACCCTTCTGAAATTATTCCTTTCACGAACGAGTTCGGAATTGAGTTCATTGCGGTGAAAATTTTAACTGGCTCGTCTCATATTTTTCTGACCTGTTCCTACATTCCTCCCATGGCTGAAGATATTGTGTACTTTCACCATCTTGATGCCATTAGGTCTGTCTCTTCGTTGGCCAAGGACCGTGATTTAATCCCAATCATGGGAGATTTCAACCTTCCCATCATTTCCTGGATCCCGTCTGAGGTAGAAAATTCCTTACTTTCCAGTTGTCATAACGACTTTATCGATGGCTTAACCGATCTTGCCCTGCTCCAAATTAATCCAATTCATAACACTCATGGCAGATTTCTCGACCTTATTTTTTCTAATGTGTCATCCTCTGTGACAGTCATTCAGTCCCCGCCGCTATCGCTTCCTGAAGACATTCACCACCCTACACTATTAGCATCGGTGTTAATTGATGTGCCTCACAATGATGCTTGCTTTAATGCTAAACCTCGTTTCAAATGCTTCAGAAAGACTGATTTTATTGCCCTTCGGAATCATTTAGCTGAAATCGATTGGAATTTTCTTTTGGTATTGGTATTGCTAATCTCTTTGCGTCATTTTTTCAAACCACCTATTCGTCCGATTCATATAACCACAATTCTACTTATCCTTACAAATTACCACATATAAACAACATTTACTTTACAAAATTTCGAATTCAGGATCTGTTCGAAGCTCTTTCAACAATAGATATATCATTCTCTGCTGGTCCTGACAATGTTCCTAGCTGTGTTCTAAGGTACTGTTCTGATATCCTTTGCTATCCTCTCACTATCTTATTCAACTTATCCTTGGAGCTGGCATGTCTCCCCAAGAGATGGAATGAATCTTTTATTATTCCGCTTCATAAGAAAGGCTCTAAAGAACTTATTGAGAACTACCGTGGGATTGCTAAGCTATCTGCGATTCCCAAACTGCTTGAGAAACTGGTTACTTTCCAACTGCAACATTTTGGTAAAAGTATTATTTCCACTTCACAGCATGGTTTTGTCAAGCATCGCTCTACCACAACTAACATTCTTGAATTCACTTCGTTTATCCACAGAGGTTTTCTGAGCCGCATACAAACTGATGTGGTGTACACTGACTTTATTAAAGCGTTTGACTCTGTTAACCACCATCTCCTCCTTCATAAGCTATGTCTTTTGGGGTTTTCTCCTCATATAGTACAGTGGTTGACCTCTTATCTATCGAACCGCACGCAGCGTGTTTTGTTTAAAAACAGTTCATCACAGATTATAAATGTTTCATCTGGTGTCCCACAAGGTAGTCACTTAGGACCTCTTCTGTTTGTTCTTTTTGTCAACGATTTACCTAGTGTTGTAAACTATGCTACTACATTTATGTATGCTGATGATGTCAAGTTATGTCTTTCTTTCTCAGACCATTTCCTTCATAGACACTTGCAACTAGACCTTAACGAAGTCTTCTTGTGGTGCTCAAACAATCTCCTTTTGCTTAACTGCTCTAAGTGTAAGGTTATGACGTTTAATCGCAGTGTGCCTCACATCGCTTCGTACTCTCTTGGGAATAACGTCTTAGATCGTGTTTTCCTAATTAACGATCTTGGAGTAATTTTTGACAATAAATTGTCCTTCAACGACCACATATCACTAACAGCGAATAAAGCCAGAGGCGTGCTAGCTTTTATCAAACGTTGGTCTAAAGAATTTGATGATCCTTTCACAACTAAAACTCTATACGTATCGTTGGTTCGTCCTATCTTAGAATACTGTTCTAGCGTTTGGAGTCCGCAATACTTTGTTCACCAAAGGAGGATTCAATCAGTCCAAAAGCAGTTTCTGCTATTTGCGTTAAAAGGCTTAAACTGGGATACTGCCACTTCCCTCCCGTCGTATAATTGCCGGTTAAAATTACTAAACCTACCTCCTTTAAAAGAGCGCCGTACTTGTGCTGGGGTTATGCTGCTTCATGTGCTTGTTCTTGGACAGGTTGACTCACAAGTACTTCTTGAAAAATTAATGTTTTCTGTGCCTAATAGAGTAACTAGATCATTCCGACCCCTTTGGTTACCAATTTCTAGATCTAATTTTGCGGAACACGATCCATTCCGCGTTATTTGTAAAAATTATAACTCGTTATCCCATTTAATGTCCCCTGAACTATCCCTAGATGTAATTAAATCCAAAATTATGGAATATCTTTTAACTTAATTTATCCTTACTCTTAGTTATAATAATATAGAAATAACAGTTCATTGTTAACAATAATAATAAATAAAAAAAAAATAAACTAAATATAGGTGATCTTGAGTACTGCTACCATCCGTCGTATATAAAATAACCATTAAACTGTAAATTGAAAATTAAAATTTTTTTTTCTAAATTTTATTCTAACCATCATGGTTTCTTGCCTGGGGGTCCACCATAGCTGATATAAGCTTGCATAAAAGCCTTTGACGACGGATGTCTGATTTATGCCATTTACACAGGCTTCTTCAAAGTTTTTGACAAAGGGTTTTACGCTGCCCTACTGTCGAAATTATACGAATTAGGAATTTTTTCCTCCATTGGTGGTGTCGTGCCACGTTCTTATTGGAGATACCATTCAAAATCTCTTTATCACCTTCTCTGGCCTTCAATAAGGAAGCATCTTGGGACCCCTCCTATTTGTTATTTTCATCAATGACATCTATTCCTTCTTTCGTCATTCCTTCTACTTGTTTTAGGATGACCTTAAAATGTATAGAGCCATTAGCTGCATTAGTGATAGTTACAGGTTACCTGTTACAGGAGAATAGTTTCCTTTTGGTGCATCTGCAATCTTCTTATATTAAACTTATCTAATTTAAAACCCTTCTGAAACCTCAGCCCTTCTGCCAGAGCTGTTGTATTCTCCTCAATGTTTGCACTTTAGAGGATCAACGTACACAGGCAGTTTCAGGTAATATTGATTGCCTTTTTTCATAGTTATTACTTATTAATTTGAATGTTCCTCAAAGAGGTTTTCGTACCTTTGTCCCCTTTCTGATCAAGTATCACAGGGACAATTATCTTTTAATTGAGGAAACTTTTTCATATTTTAACACTAGACCCATAGACTAGACTAATTTTATGATTTTATTCCCATGCTTGCAGATCACCGTAATCCTGTGAACCCAACTAACATTATATCAAAAGGTGGAGCTGATGGTAAGAAAATAGGTCTTAAAAATAAAAATGCATGTTTTTAGAATTGTATTTGGTTGTAAAAGAAAAATTATATTTACGTATTACTTATTTAAAATATAATAATTCAAAATAATATTGACTAATATGTATATTATATCGGAATAAATGTCCGAAATAAGTTCTAAAATATAATTTATATGGCTATAAAAATATAATCTTAAAAAACAGTTTTCTTTAATTCCATTACGTTTTCTTTATTTCTTTCTATGTACATAAAATATTTCACCCCCATTGGAATGTACATTCTGGAAAATAATTAAATTTAAATTTTTAAATTATGTAAATTATTATGTTTTTTTAATTAAATCTAATTTGTTTTAACTACTTTTGGTGGTTGCCTAGATATAACAACTGTTATTTTGCTTAATAATGATTTAGGCCGCGTGGGTGATACCCACGGCAGATTTTTAAAGCTACGTCCTGAAGTTGGACTTTTAACATCAACTGCACGAACATTTATACAGAATGGAATAACAACTGAGTTTGCAACCAAGATTGTAGGTACTGAACTAAATAACGGAAGACTGTACGCACAATATCTCAAAAAACGATCAAGAGTTCTTTACAAAAACGACAATCCTTCTCCTGCGGTTTTAACAAGCTGGGTAGGAGAAAAAGCTTTCCAACAATCACCTCAATTTTTACAAAGTCACAATGATTTGTTTAATATGGATGCAAATGTTTGGCAGCATATTGACGATAATCTTGAAATTAAGAAAAATGACTTTATAGGAAATACCGATTTTGTCAACGTACAGAGCACAAAACTAACCGATCCTATACACCCAAGCGAAAAAGATGCAAATCGTCCTGTTTTTCTACCGGAAGAATATGGAAATAACCACAAACGGCAATCAATTCATGTAAAGAAAGAAGAGTTGAATACATTTAAAAGTGTTCAGTCCTTATCCGTTGAAGATTTGGAAACATTTACTGTTAAAAATCATAATATAATTTTTAGTGAAGTTACTATCGCAAGCAATAATTCCAATCATGACATAAACTATTCGAAAAATCTTCATGAACGATATGGTAAAAACGTAAACAGTAATATTTCAGAACCGGAAGATGAAAGTATTTCAAAAATAGACTTATCTACTGTAACCTACTACGGATTTGCAGAGTTTACTACTATGGTCGGCGACAGTGTCATCGTTTTTTTGCCAAGTACTTTACAAGCTAATCAACATTTTGGACACGTAACTTCGATTAGAGGAGTTCCTACACTGGGATCTGAACTTGTCCAAACTCAAATTAGTCATGTCGTAAAGAATACCCAAATTTTGGTAAACAAAACCTCGGATTTAGAAAGAATGCACGAGGAATACATAGTTTCTTCCGAAAATGTTCCAATTTTTTCCAGTGTCTCTCCAAGCTTGGATCAAATGGTTGATGAAAAAATCCTTTTAAAGAACTCAATAAATCAAAATATAGATACTGAGATAACATTAAGCTCAAAAAATGTTACCTCGGTTCACCTTGCCCAAAACACATCGATTAATATTGGACAGTATAACTTTACCATCAAAGAAATGAAGGATCCTATGCATAAACTGAGCTATTATCATCAAAATCCGTCAAGTGAACAAGCACTGGGAGGTGCCACCACTATTTTTTTAGATGATGATCCTTTTACCAAATATATTGCAAAAACCGATTTGACTTATTCTTCGCTCAATGTGCAGCCAGAAAAAAGCTCTGTTAAAGTAGCAAATAAAATGAGTATTAAAATTAACGAACATTTTGTTAATGCCAATAAAAACGAAATTATATTAAAAATAAATTCAACAAAATCAAATAACATAAAAGAAAATTATACATCATGCGATCACACCACATCGCAGGTATTTTTTACTCAAATGGCAAAGCTACTTTCTGATATGTCATCTCTAGCTGGGGATGATGTTATAAGAGATAATCCAATTGCCAATTTTGATATCATAGAGACTACTAAATATTACTGTATACAGGCTTCTCAGGTTCAGCAAACAACGGATTTAGTTGAAATTAATAATATAAGTAATATTCAAATTGAGCCTCACCGTAAATCAAAACCATTTGATGTAAATGAAACCACTTCCCTACAAACCGAATACTACGACTTTACCAACGAAAATGAGTATGAGGGAGAAGATGATGAATATGAAGTCCCCGATGACTTTGATTTCATTTATAAAACATTTTTTACCACTTATACATATTTGACAACATTTTTTGAAGGCTCCGAGAGCACTATTTCTAGCCATACAGAAATTATAACTAACTTAGTTTCTTCGAAATCTAGAACTGAAGAAGAATTTATGACACAAATTTTTAGCACAGCTAAGGAAAATGAAGTTTTTGAAAATAAAAACGACCAATCAAATCCAAATATCTCACATGAAGTTTCTAAATATTCATTACCAAAAGACCTTGTAAATATACTTGTAGAGCACAACTCATCAAAAAATATTTCCGAAATCAAAAAAATAACTCAAGCGACCGAAAATCTTGATGATTGGAAATACACGAAAACTTTTTACACAACCTATACATATTATACGTCAATTTTTTCTGATAACAATACTGAGATCATGTCGCGGACAGATGTGATAACTAGTTATGTAACTTCGAAGCCTTTCAATAATCATACTTATATATTTACAGAACCAAATCACAGTAACAGTTTGTCGATAGCAGAAACAAATGAGATTACAACGTCTACAAATATAATTAAAAATGATAAATTTATGACATCTAGTTACAATATAAGCAATGATTTCTTATATCAGGAAGATCAAGTTAGTTCGGAAAGCAATACTGAGGAGATAATACCATCTGCTACTTTACTTCTTCAAACCAGTTTTACCACTTTTACGTTCTACACAACAATGTATGTCGGCAATGACACAAATATTGTTAGTCGCCTTGAGACTGTGACAAATATAGCGACCGGAATATTGCAACCATCAAAAACCCTTCAAGGTGAAAATGTCTTTCCGGTTACATATTTCACAACATTTACATATTGGACAAAGTTAGCCAAAGATGGTGAAATTTCAACAATAAGCAGAGAGGAAACTTTATCTAATATAGTCTCACCTACAAATATCTCACAAGAAACAGTATATACATCTTCATCTAAAATATCCAAAAATAAAAAAAATCAAGATTATGATATTACCACAAATATAACTGATGTTTTAAGCACTTTACACCAGTCCTCAGATTTTGTAACTTACTACACAACTTATACGTATTATACCACTTCATATGAAGGAAATGAAACTTTTACCGATTCGCGTTTCGAGACTTCAACTAATGTTGTGACAAGTAATCAAGTGTCTTTATCTACACTAGAAACTGAATTTGCAGTTCCACAAAATATATATCCTTCAACCAAAAATTTGCAAGCACTAAGTACTTCTGAGAATCAATTAGTTTTGTTTGACTTTAAAAAAATAATTGATGCTGATGAAGTGAGTACTTTATATTTTACAACAGAAATTCTATCAAAAGTGAATGACGATGGATTTAGTATTGAGATAACAAGCAGCACCTCAAGATTAAAAATTGACGAATCAAAAAAAAAATTTATATCTTCTACTTCTATAAATAATGGCCCCGATGAAACCTCATCAATATCTAGATTGCATAAAACTGGATTGCTTAGGATTATCGAAGGCAAACGAATCCAAAATAATACCACAACTGTGTACCAATCAAAGGTTATTGGAACGGTTATTAGCAATAGATATGCGCAAGTCATTGAAAGTACATCTAGTTTTTTGTATGAAAGTACTTTTTCAGATAATTTCATATTCCCAACTAAAACAACAGCAATGGAATATTCTATTTCAACTAATGAAATAACAACATTATCCCAAAGCTCGAAAAATTATTCTGAAACTATAATAGAAAATCTGAGTTCTCAAAACGATGAATACACGGATCCGCTACAAACATTGAAAAGAACTTTTGCTCCTGTAATACGACCCTTTGCTTCACGAAATAGACCAACTTTTGCCCCAAAACAAAAAAACCAAATCTCCATCAGCGCAACTATTATTACTAGATCCGATATAACTCCAACTATAACGGCAACACCTGCTTTAAAAATAGTTGGTAAATACAGCTCTTCCCGCCGCGGAGCCTTTCCTAGTGCGTTGAAAAGCCCGAACGACTCCAGTTTTCATCAATCTCATTCGACTAAACGATTTTTTGGTCGTCCATCAAAACTAACAACAGATCTGCATGGAATCTCTGAATCGAACACTGTATATTTTGCTTCAAGAAACAGATTCTCATCTTCCTTGCACGCAACTCAAAATTTAAGTACTAAGCGGCAAGATATTAATATTTCACATCGTCCAACTAAAACTGCTTTTTGGGGCTCATCAATATTATCCAATATTCGTATTAGGCCAAACAGCTCTCTTAGTAATGGGGGCTTACCAACACAAATCCTCGCCCATGACGACTTTTCTTTAGATAGTAGCATTGAAGAAGGTAACTCAACAGAAGTAAGTGAAGAATTGGAATCTACAAAACGCAATCAAAATCAATTACTGCGGCTTCGTCGACCTGTAAATAGACCAAGTGGATTTATTGCATCAACAAAAAATTTAGGAAATACGCCAGTAACTTCGTTTAGAAGGAATCCATTGTTAGCACGTTCGAAATTTTCAACCACAACTAGTACAACAACTACAACAGTCAAACCTTCGCCACGTAGTTTTCCCCGTCCTATTGGTCTTCAAGCTAGATCAAGGTCTCAAAGTAATCTATTTCCTCCACGCGGACTTTTCCAGCCACAGCAGAAAGAAGAACACCCCATAGACATAAAAAATGCTAACTTTTCCGAAAATAGTTTTGAATTAGATAGTGAACATGGATACGATAAAACCGAAAATAGTAATGGTAAAAGGCATCGAAATAAACGGTCAAGCAAAATTTTACGCTGCCATACCAGACGACGTCGTCAATCGGAGGCAAAATCTAGGAATCCATTTAGGTTTCGTCGTCAAAACTCCACGATATCTACCCCAAGGGAAGAGGGTAAGCAAGCCAACTATGAAGAGCTGGAAGAATCAAACCATTCTCTAGCTAAAACAACTTCTCGTTTTGGATCCAGATTTCATTCTCCACGAGGAAATCAGATGCACTCTCAAGGTAATAGTTTCAACTCCACAATTGTTATAACGCATAACACAATTAGACCAACTCGTCCATCTTCCAAGCGACCTCAGTTTACCCTTAGAGAAAATGAAAATTCTTTTAAAAGCAATACACGATCAGGATCACAAAGCAATTTCCGTCGCCAATCAGGTAATGCTTCGACTAGGCGCCCAATTAGCTCCAACCAAAGTAGTAGCTCTACCAATAAAAGAATAAAAAGTTATAATAATTATAATAATAAGAATAATGGAGAATACGGACGATTACCTCATATGACACGTTCCAGAAACATTAACACTAATACGTCTAAGCGAGGAAGGGGTTCTGTCCGCAGTCGAACTAGGGGCGAGTATGCCTCCGACTTTAAAATTGATGAGCAGGAAGAGAAAATAATCACAGTTACACATTTTATACCATCTGAAGTAACGGTACCTTTCATAAATGGCTATACAACAGATTATAAAAATATTATAACTGCTAAAACCAGTACAGAACTTGTGGGCCCGAATCAATATACCAATGTTGTCGGTAATAACGGATTGACTTCTTTATACCTTAAAAGGGAGGAGTCTAAGATAAATGATGCCGGGTTTACAGAGCATACCAAATACCTTTTGCATGAATCAATCACAAGTACTGTAACATTTACACCCACTACTATACGCGGTCGAAAGACATCGTTTTCACACATTCTTCCATCGACCGGATACTCTGTAGAATATCTTGTATCTACAATACAGCCCCAAATTTCAGCCAATGCACCACTAGCGAATATATTACTATCGCAGTTACTTTTAGGAAATTTAAATTTGCCAGCTCATCATTTAAATGGTCAGCAACAAAATTTCATATCACCAGTAGTTACATCTTCTGCTGAACCTATTACTGAATATCGAACTCATACATCAACATATGTAACTACGATTTTTGATGGAAAGTCCACTATATTACCAATAACGTTTCAGGGTAAAAAAATTCTGACCACTGTATATGATACGACTGCACAAACTATAACAGCTACCGAATATAGTGTAGATACAATCGTAAACACTCCATCAATGGTTGAAAACATACAGTCTAATGGACCAGCAGCAGTAAACAGCTTGTTGCTACAACAGTTGTTGCTCCAACAACAACAGGAGCCGTTATCCTTACCTCCAATACTTTTAAAAACTGAAACACCTCAAATAACACAAAGTGAAAACTTTCAGGACTTGGAAGTAACCCGTTCAAATGTCAGATTCATCGATGACGTCGACTATATAGACATACCATCAAATAAAAATACAATGCCAATGTCTAAAAATTCTCGCAAAAAAGAAAAAAAGGGTAGTCATGGTCGTAAGCGAAGTAGACATAATGAATTAGTAATGAATTCACAGGATGCAAGTGTAATAACCCTCTACGTATCAGGGCGAAGACCTGGTGAATTTAGTACTGTGTTATCTACTGTACAGAATACTTACGATCGTTCTGCTTCCTTACAAAAGAGGCACATTCAAACAACTATTGCTTCAAAAGACTTAAAAAAAAACCAAGATGCTAAAGAATTAAATTTTTTAATGAATACCTTACCATGCTCAATAAGAGGTAGTACAACTTCGTTGGAGGATACTGTGGGTGATGTAAGCATTTGGTTAGAAACATCGAGCAAGAAATTAAAATTGTTTTCAATGGAAACAGAATTAGCGAAAATAAACAGTACTCGTACATACATATTAAATATTTAAAAAATATATCAAAAAAACATTTTACGTTTAGGCATTTTTTTAAATCATTTTTTAAATTTTGGTTAACTAGATTCCTCACAAATGGAAGGATCACTAGTCAATAGCTATCAAAGCTTCAAGAAATTCTTTCAATTAAGGTGTGAAAAAAAAGTGTGCAAGAAAATTGAAATTTTTTCTCTTTATACTTGTATATATATATACAAGAATATACACATATATATTGTATTAAAATTGTATTGTTAATTGTTATGTTTTAAGTGTGTCTTTTATAAAATATGATTGAAATTATGAATTGCAATACGATTAAATCCAATAAAAATGTTTTGTTTAGCAACTAGTTTTGATAATAAATTTGCAGTTTTATAATTGGAAAATAAAAAAACTATTTACAAAAATGAACTAATATGTTTTACTTAATGTGCAAAAAAAACTATGTAAAACTATAAGATAGTATAAATATATTTTCCATATGGTAATAATAATATGTTTTCCAATGGATTTTATAGTTTTATAAAATAGTAGTGTCGGGTCAAGCAGCTAGTTGCTAGTTCAAATTATTAATTGATTAAGTAGGCATTGTTGGTCGCAAGCCGATTCCCGTTCGGCCTTTCGGCTTCAATTGATTCGGCATTTAAAGCCAGCGAACATCCGCTCAGCCTATATTAAATGTTGGCGCCAGTCTCGCTTTGGATCTTATTGCTCTCGCATCCTAAATTGGTCTATCATATAAATAGGAATCCAGAATAAGAATATAATATAAGAAATAAATAAGAATCAGACATATACGGCAAAATAAAGATTTATAACGTTTCAATTTAATCCAATTTGGTTTTTATTTTTACAGTCATTGAAAACTCCCAATGACCAAGTATAATAAGTAGTTTTTATACCCTTGCAGAGGGTATTATAATTTTGTCAAAAAGTGTGCAACGCAGTGAAGGAGACATCTCCGACCCTATAAAGTATATATGTTCTTGGTCAGGATTACCTCCTGAGTTGATATGAGCATGTCCGTCTGTCTGTCTGTTTGTCTGTCAGTCTGTTTCTACGCAAACTAGTCTCTCAGTTTTAAAGCTATCGAGCTATGAAACTTTGCGCAGTATATAAATCGGAACGCCCGGGATCGGCCGACTACATCCTATAGCTGCCATATAATTGGATAATCGGAAATGCTATAAATTTGGTGTTTTTAAAGTTTAAGAGTTCTGATTTGTTCTAAATTTGCGCAGATAGTCACCTTTGGGGCACCATTTTATTTCTTTTTCATTATCTAATGAAGTAAGGCCTAAAAAAAGGCTTATAGGCTTATAAAAACAGGTAAAAGATTCAAGGAATGATCTTGTATTCAAGACGAAAGTCAAACAAGCCTCAAGCTTTGAATGTTAAAGCCTAGTATTAGGTGTACAAGTAGAAAACTTTGACAAAGTGGTGCCTTCTTTGAAAGCCCTTGAGAATTTTAATCGGCAAATTGTCTCGTTCGTGTATTTCATTTTTTGGGTTTCAAAAATATTAAAATATGAACCGAACCGAGTTCACTTCGAATAAATCGGCAGCTGAAGCACGTCTAATGATCGTTCAAACTTATGGTTAGTCCTGTATCATTAAAAAGACGTCTATATTTCTATAATGTCTATAAAGTCCGTAACTCCTCAAAAAATTAACCGATTAGGATTTTTGTTTTGAAGGTGAGGATTTGGAATTGGAATAGTTTGGCATCGAAACATTTTCGAAAAACTTTTTAGAACTGTTGTAAAATTATGCAAAATTTTGAAACACACTGAATCTGGGCAGACATCATACGAGTCCAAGTTTCCAATCTGATAGCAAAGATTATAAAGTACATAGATGGGACATCTCATACAAAGAAAAATTTTCTATGGCGGGTTCCAGCAGTGGAACCCGCTGGAATGAGCGGGTTCCATTGCGCGACGAGTTAAGTTTGAGAAATTTTTCGCGCGAAGACGAATGAGGAACAGCCGATTGGTAGAGTGCTTGGCTGGTGTGCAAAGTAAAACGAGTTCAAAAACTTTTTTAAGTCGTGGAACCCACTGTAATATTGAAAACATTTGTGGTCCTTATTCATGCGGTCCTGGGCTCGACTTCATTAGCGGGCGGTTGTTTCGATTTTGATAAAGTTTTAGTTTTATGATTCTTTTTATATTTACTTTTATTTTTGTATTATTTTTTTTTTAATTGCATTCTATTACAATTGTTGTAAAAATAAGTGACGGACGTGTCGGATGACAAAATACCGGAAGGACTCCCTTGAAATTTTATTAGCATTTTATTAGCGGCACATAATGAAGAATTAAACAATTTTACAATTGTAAAATTAAAGAAAAATATTACAATTAACGAAAAAAAAATAATAATAATTATAAAAGAAAGAAAAATTTTAAAGTCCTTACGAGGATTTGAACACAGAAAAATTAAACATAGAGTTACTACTCTATGCATTACGCTACCATCCTGTCTAGATCTGCGGCGATCAAAAATACTATTTGTTCTACCAACTACCACATCGGCGCATCGAAAACAGAAACGAGAAATTTAAATTGAAATTTGGAAGCCAAAACATTACTCCGTCGTGCGAGCAGTCACACATACACACACAGGTTCAGATTTTTGTTGACGGATACATGTAAAGAGTTCTAAAAATGGAATCGTATGCATGTGCGGTCCCCCCTCACCAACAAGCTCGACGAAAAAAGTTGACCGTTTTGGGCCCTGATGTCCCATCTGTGTACTTTATAATCTTTGCTGATAGTTTTACATCTGATAGTCTTTAAGATATACGCGTTGATTTTAACACGTTTTTAAACAAATTCGTATTTACATATATACCTTTATCTCCTCGAGATATAGGACAGAAATAGAAAAATGGAATTTCTTTTTTTATAGGAAAGTGGGACGAAATGTGTGAAATCGGATTTTCGGATTTAAATAAAAAAACCTGAGGAACGAAGCCGAAGTTGATATGCCCTTGCATTTAAAAACGGATATATTTCGAAAACATCGGATATAGTTGTCCGATCCTTATGAGAATATCATAATAAAACCAATTTATAAAAAATAAAGCTCAAACAAAGTATCAAGCTTCTATCTTCAAAAATACAAAAGTTGGTATTTGTACCAAAAACCATTTCCGATCGTTCAGTAATATGGCAGCTATAGGATATAGTCGGCCGATCCTTATAAAATTTAGTAGGTTGGGTTTACTGACCAAAAATATAATCTGTACTAAGTTTCAGCTTTCTATCTTCAAAATCGCAAAAATTGGGTCATTTCCGATCGTTCAGTTATATAGCAGCTAAAGGATATAGTCGGCCGATCCTTACGAAATTTAGCATGTCGTATTATTTTGCCAAAAAGAACTCTCATATTAAATTTGAAATCATGTTAAATGCGAAATGAAAACAGCGAAGGTTTACCATTTCCGATCAATCAGTTAAATGGCAGCTATAGGATATAGTCGGCCAATCCGGTCGTTCCGACTTATATATTGCGTGCAAAGGAAAGAGAGGGGTTCGTAAAGATTCAAGTCGCTTTAAAACTGAGACACTAGTTTGCGTAGAAACAGACAGACGGACATGCTCTTATTAACTCAGGAAGTGATCCTGATAAAGAATATATATACTTTATAGGGTCGGAGATGTCTCCTTCACTGCGTTGCACACTTTTAGACAAAATTATTATAGCCTCTGCAAGGGTATAACAAGAAAGGAAAGCTAACTTCGGGCGGAGCCGAAGTTTATATACCCTTGCAGTTAAACCCGGATATGTATCGCAAACATCGGATAAAGTTAGCCGATTCTTATAAGAATATCATAATAAAACCATTGAAGTACAATACAATTTCTAAAAAGAAGAATGGAAAGATAACTTCGGGCGGAGCCGTAGTTTATGTGCGCTTGCAGTTAAAACCGGAAACATCAGATATACATAGGTGGTCGGTCCTTATGTGAATATCATAATATTACCAACTTATTATAATAAAGCTAAAAATAGACCCAAGGTTCTATCTTCAAAAATAGCAAAGTTGTCATTTGGTTCGTATTTTTACCAAACACCATTTCAAATCGTTCTGTTATATGGAAGCTATACGATAAAGTCGGCCGATCTTTATGAAGTTCGGATCAATTAACCAAAAATAAAATCTTTACAAAGTTCCTACTTTCCATCTTTAAAAAAATTTGGGTCATTTCCCATTGTTCAGTTATATGGCAGCTATAGGATATATGTAGTTAATCGAAATCTTTATGAAATTTGGTATGTCGTACTATTTTGCGAAATATGGCACTCATGCAAAATTTGAATGAATAACAGGCGGCATGTGTCAATATCATTGTTTTGTTTACGACTTCTGGTTAAACAAGAAAGAAAAGCTAACTTCGGGCGGAGCCGAAGTTGATATACCCTTGCAGTTAAAACCGGATATATATCGAAAACATCGGATAAAGTTGGCCGATTCTTATAAGAATATCACAATAAAACCATTGAAGTACAATAAAATTTATAAAAAATCCCAAGCTTCTATCGATTTCCGATCGATCAGTTATATGGCAGCTATACGATATAGTCGGCCGATCCTTATAAAATTTAGTAGGTTGGATTTACTGACCAAAAATATAATCTGTACTAAGTTTCAGCTTTCTATCTTCAAAATCGCAAAAATTGGGTCATTTCCGATCGTTCAGTTATATAGCAGCTAAAGGATATAGTCGGCCGATCCTTACGAAATTTAGCATGTCGTATTATTTTGCCAAAAAGAACTCTCATATTAAATTTGAAATCATGTTAAATGCGAAATGAAAACAGCGAAGGTTTACCATTTCCGATCAATCAGTTAAATGGCAGCTATAGGATATAGTCGGCCAATCCCGGTCGTTCCGACTTATATATTGCGTGCAAAGGAAAGAGAGGGGTTCGTAAAGATTCAAGTCGATAGCTTTAAAACTGAGACACTAGTTTGCGTAGAAACAGACAGACGGACATGCTCTTATTAACTCAGGAAGTGATCCTGATAAAGAATATATATACTTTATAGGGTCGGAGATGTCTCCTTCACTGCGTTGCACACTTTTAGACAAAATTATTATACCCTCTGCAAGGGTATAACAAGAAAGGAAAGCTAACTTCGGGTGGAGCCAAAGTTGATATACCCTTGCAGCTAAACCCGGATATATATCGAAAACATCGGATATAGTTGACCGATCCTTATTATAATATCAAAATGAAACCAATTTATTACAATAAAATATTTTAAAAAAGTCCCAACCTTATATTTTCAAAAATACCAAGGTTGGTATATCTACCAAAAACCATTTTCGATCGTTCAGTTATATTGCAACTATAGGATATAGACGGCCGATCCTTATGAAATTTGCTTGGTGAGATCT